CCAGGAATGATCAGATATTGGGAGAAAGTGCAGTTCAGCTATTGATAAAGCACCTTAAATCTAGGCACTGGATGAAAAAAACCTAGGGTTTCTCAATTAAAACTAGGAATAAACCAAGCCTTGAGAAAATTTCCTTCTGAGGCTAGAAAATCTGTCAACAGGTGAAGAGTATACTATATGCCCATAACTTTATGTTCTAGGCACCAAAATAAAGGACAAATGCAGTGAAGCAAGCTCATTCTATTTTAATGTACAAGTACAATCTTCTGTAAATTCATTTTTACATCTCAGTACCAAATGGGGCTGTGCAGTCGAGTCACTGCTGGCAAATGAAACTTATTTGTAAGGGGAAAAGGAAAAATAAGAAAGAGGCAATACAACAGTCACTGGTTGCTTGTGTTTTACAGTGTGAGGTGTCATGAGACAAGAACCTTGTGCTGGTTATATAAAAAATACACTAGCAGAAGATGGCCAGCAAGGATTAGGACTGTAAAATGTTATCACCTCAGCTGTTTAAAATACTGAATGCAGCCCAAGTTGTAAGCATGCACAGTGTGAGAGACTGTATATTATGTCTCTATGGGCCATCAAGTTGTGACTGATACGCCAGCACACACACAACCTACTGTGAGTGGTTCCTTTCTGACTAGAGAGGATAGAATTTCACTGCTACCTTTCAGGTCTGCAGTCTGGCTCAAATGGACAATGTTTATGGTACCAGATGGCCCAGGGAACAGAAAGACTAGCCTTAAAACTTCAAAATGCAACGAGAGACTTGTGTGGTGACTTCATCTGTTAATGAGCTGTATAAAGTATTAGGAATTGCTAAGTTTTTATTATCATAGACTTTATCTGATGTCATTTTGTTTACTCATGAAAATATTTGTATCTAACTTCCTCATCTACCAGTGGAGCCTAAGGTAACTCATAACATATCGATACATCAATGGAAAATAAAGAGACAAGTTATTAAAATAAATAAATAAAAACCACAAAGTGTGGACTTCACTATCAAAAGAAAAACCAGCAATCAAAAATACTGTTCACTGTTAGCAGTAGTCCTCTTATATAAAACTGTCTTGCATGCAAGGCAGATGAGCAAATGGAACTGATGAAATGCACTTTGCAGTACTATAAAGACCTCCTTTCTAGTGGTAGAGCAGGAACTAACAAAGCTCCCAGACCATTCGTTGAATCCACTGAAGACACACTAAAACCATCCATATTTGGAATTTCCTTCCAGATCTCCCCCCCCCCCCCCCCCAAAAAAAATACTAGATTCAGTTTCTGCTTGTTTTCCCTCAGCAATATGACCATGGGAGGCTTATGGTAAATAAATATAGAGATAGATGCGTGTCACAGGCTTATTTAGTTTTAATTTTACTTTATTTATACCTCACCTTTCTCCCTAGTGGGAACCCATAGTAGCTTACAACATTCTTCCCTTCTTAATTTTATCCTCACAACAACTGTGTGAGGTAGATTATCCTAAGAGTGTGTAACTGGACTAGCAAACTTCCACTGCATAGTGGGGATTCAAACCCAGGTCTCTCAGATCCTACTATAATTGCTACGTTATGCTGACCAGGGCTCTTGGGGGGGGGGTGTTACTTGTTGGAGTGAGTGACTCAGCATGCCTCGACATTGAGGGTCACTAGATCACTCTAAGGGCATATAGGTATTCTGGCCCATGTGGGTCTGGTGTGGGAGCAGGCAGAAGTTCCACAGAACAACCAGGCAGAAAGTACCAGGTAGTCACCCACAGCAAGGGTTCAGGCAGGAGAGTGGTCAGGAGACAGTCCAAGGTTCAGGTACCTAGAAAGGAGAGTTGTCAGGTTGTCCAGGTTTCAGGGGTCCAGAAGTCAGAAAGTCCAGTACAGGTTCAGAGCAACAGAGGTTCCAGTCAGAGATTCAGGAGACAAGGCTGGTGGTTATGCAGCCATGGTACAAGCTGCATCCACAACGAGCAGCTTACCCCTGCCTGGATTTATAGAAGGAGGAGGAGGAGGAGATTGGATTTATACCCCGCCCTTCACTACCCAAAGGTGTCTCAAAGCGGGTTACAAACTCCTTTCCCTTCCCTTCCCCACAACAGACACCCTGTGAGGTAGGTGGGGCTGAGAGAGCTCTTTCCAGAACTGTCCTTGAGAGAACAGCTCTGACAGAACTATGGTTTACCCAAGGTCATCCAGCAGCTGCAAGTGGAGGAGTGGGGAATCAAACCCGGTTCTCCCAGATTAGAGTCCACACACTTAACCATTACTGCTCTCCATGGGCTGTTTAGCTGCTGCTAATCGTGGCACGCATCCCTGCAAGTACTCATCTGGCAACAGGTGTCTGCGATCTATCTCAGGTCTGATCTCCACTGACGCATTGGCACTCAAGGGGTGTTGGAGAAACACTGGGCCCAGCCTCCTCCCTCTACTCCACTTCTGGACTGGAAGCAGGTAAATTGCTTGTGTGCTGTCAAGAGCTTGCATCTCCTGCCTTTGAAATTGATGGGTTCTATCTCAGCTGGGTGTTCCTCCTCCTTTTTAGAGGTTTCATTATCAGAGGAGGATTTGTTATCAGGCTGGTTGTTCATCTGGTCAGGCTGGCTATCAGGGAGACGTATGACACCAGGTGTTCTCTCCTTGAATTAGATGCCTCTCTTTGTCTTAACCTGGGAGCTGCCCTCCGACCCCTCCTCTCTCTCTCGCTTTGCCCTCTCACTCTGTTCACATGGCCTTCCACGGAGACACATCTCTGCAGGTCTCTCCTGTAGATAGAATGCCCTCATACTCCCACACACATGATGCTGAGCCAGCTGGCCATTTGTGATAGGGAAAATACTCTTTAGATTAGGCTTCTCTCTCTCCTTTTGATTGCAACCTGAATGTGAACTGGATCTACTTTAATAAACATAAGTTTACCTTTTTGTAACATACTTCCTGGGAGATTTATTTACTGTACTCAGTGTCACGCTTCTATGACTGGGCAAAACTCTGCTATATTAACCAAATATCTCAATAGTACTCACTGGCACTGAGTATCATTCACCACCTTCTTGGGGGCACTCCAAAGCCTGGGGCAGGGGATTGGTGGAAATCAGTGCAATCTTATATATGAGCACTGGCTCTTTTTTAAAAAACAAAAAAGCACTGATGCTGGCTTTTCCAATCCCAAAGTTGTTAATTGTTCTCCATTATCTTTTTTCCTTGAATGTGTTTCACACTAAACACGACACAATCTAGACAAAGCTAAGTGCTTTTAAGTCCCATTTATGTCCATGGGAGTAAATGAAATGTGCTAAAGGCTTCCACTGAAACCCACAGGACAGAAAGAAGCTTAACTTTGGCTGGATTGTGCTCAGTTTGTTTTGGTTTAATGAGATTTTACCTTTAATGCACTTCTTTAATCATAAGGGCTACTATGGTTTCAGGTCCCGCCACTTTCATACAGACTGAGGAGGATTACTGCTGGTGACTCATATCATTTAATGAATGTCATATCCAGCAACAGATAATTATCGAGTAGGACACTCAATATTTATCTATCTCTGTTCATCAAGCTTCTTTGGATAACATACAGATCATGTTACGATTCAGAGATTCATTATTTAATGGATTGCATGGGCTAGCTATAGCCAGCATGATTTGTTTTCCTGACTTATGACCACATGTGGGAGTAATCATTTGGGGGGGAAAGAAAAAATGCTTTCAGGATTCTATTCTACAGTAGCGGAAAAGTCTTATAAATCATGAAGATCCCTTTGGTTAATACAGTGTTGCACAGAGCATCATCAACACTGGAAACCTGAAAGAAAATGTGTTCCAGTCGAGACAGTGTGTGACTGCAATAAAAAAGGCCAATGCTATGCTGGGGATTATTAGGAAGGGTATTGAAAACAGATCAGCCAATATCATAATGCCCCTATATAAATCAATGGTGCGACCTCATTTGGAATACTGTGTGCAGTTCTGGTCACCACACCTTAAAAAGGATATTATAGCTTTGGAAAAAGTGCAGAAAAGGGCAACTCGAATGATAAAAGGGTTGGAATACTTTCCCTATGAGGAAAGGTTAAAGCGCTTAGGGCTCTTTAGCTTGGAGAAACGACGACTGAGGGGAGACATGATTGAGGTTTATAAGATTATGCATGGGATAGAGCAGGTAGAGAAAGAGGAAATTTTATCTCTTTCTCACAATACAAGAACTCATGGGCACTCAATGAAATTGCTGAGCGGTCGGGTTAGAACGGATAAAAGGAAGTACTTCTTCACCCAAAGAGTGATTAACACATGGAATTCACTGCCACAGGAAGTGGTGGCAGCTAGAAGCATGGACGGCTTCAAAAGGGAATTAGATAAGCATATGGACCAGAGGTCCATCAGTGGCTATTAGCCACAAGGTATAGATAGGGGCTCTGGGGTAAGTGATGCTCTGTCTTCTTGGTGCTTAGGGGTCAACAGTGGGAGGGCTTCTAATGTCCTGGCCCCACTGGTGGACCTCCTGATGGCACTGGTATTTCTGGCCACTGTGTGACACAGAGTGTTGGACTGGATGGACCACTAGTTGTCCAACATTGGCATCTCTTATGTTCTTATGTTCTTATCTCTCAGAGGTTATCTGCACCTGCCAGCTGTGCTCACAATATCTACATATCTGGGGCAAGTGATGCTCTGTCTTCTTGGTGCTTGGGGGGGTCAACAGTGGGAGGACTTCTAATGTCCTGGCCCCACTGGTGGACCTCCTGATGGCACCTGGTATTTCTGGCCACTGTGTGACACAGAGTGTTGGACTGGATGGGCCTGATCCAACATTGGCATCTCCTATGTTCTTATCTCTCAGAGGTTATCTGCACCTGCCAGCTGTGCTCACAATATCTACAAGACTGAATGATCAGCTGATTCTATTTTGCATGTTAAGCATAGGCAAGCCCGTTTGTCACTCTCTGGGGAGTGATAACCAATTACAGTCCCTGAAAAGCATCCCTTTACAGTAAACACTTGGAAACATGGTTTGGTCATATTTTCCACTTTATATTTTTAGGTGTATGCCTACATAAGTGACCTGCTGGATCAGATCAAATGCTGATCTACTTCAAGATTCCATTCCTAATAGTGTGCTTAGCAAAGTTAAGGCATGAAAGCAACAGTCCTCCCCTGCTTTTGGTTCCCAGCACCTGCTACTCAGAGCAGGTGAACTTCTTAACACATAATGTGCGGGTGGGGGGGGGGGAACCTCTGATTCACTGCCATATGTTGTTGCTAGCTAGGAGACCACTAGTTGTCAGAAATTTGAGATACACTACTTCACAACTGAGTAGCAGCTTTCTTGACAAAGGACAAAGGAGAATGAATGTGCATAACTGCTTTCTTGAACTATTACTCATAAAATGCTTAGAAACTAAAATCTGCACCATCCCCGGCATCTAGCCCACATTTTCCTGCTAACCACATATTTTCCTCCTGGTTAGGTCTTTCTACAAAAAGAAGACGTTTCTCTGTTTTGGACTGCTGCAAAAAGTCCAGTTTGTGACATCTATTCATCACATATAATGGAATAAACGTTGACTTGTAAAATGTTCCATAGAGCTCAGTTGCATCCCAGTCTCTGCTATACACTTCTGGCATTTTATACCTTGTGTAAATAATTTAATATCTGGACTAAAAGTTTTAATCAATTAAACTCTGTGCCACTTTTCTGAGCCATACAGATTTGTCTGGGAATGTGGAGACCCGGGTTCAAATCCCCATTCAATCCTATTGCTTGCTTGATGACCTTTGGGCTTGTCATACACTCTCAGCCTCACTTACAGGGTTGTGGGGATAAAATGGAAGAGGGTAGTACCACAAACACCACCTACAGATTACTGGAAGAAAGTTGCACTCACTATAGATTGTAAGAAGCTAGGATGCCACATGTCAAAAGCACATCCTTCGGTTTTCTGTATGGATGCAGATTTTAGGTGGTGTCGTATTCACTGATCCAGTGACACTTAACAAGCCATGCTTGGTTGTGGGGAATGTAGCTGTGGCACAGGAGGGCAGACTAGATGACCATGTTGCCTTCACCTATACTGTTCAATGACTCAGCATCAGGGAGAAGCAACTGGAATCAACAAAACTAGTAGTGGACAATCAGAGTCAGAGGATCAGTCAGACTCAGAGACAAGGGAACAGACAATGTCAACAGTGCTTCTATTTTCAGCACTGAACCTCTGGGAAAGATTAGCACCTATCATCTTTTCCACACAATCATGAGACATTTCCTTTGAAACAGGCCAGACCTAGGCGGGAGGGCGGGATAAAAGTCGAACAAATAAATAAATAAAAATCAAGTGTGTTTCTGTGTCAAGTATATGTTAATATTGCAGATGCATTGATGCTACATGCCCTGATGTCACTTTTTACCTAAATAATATGGTAAAAATTCGAAAAATAAAATAGTTATATACCTCCAAACATCCTTTGTTTTGTTCTATATAGTTATAAAGTGCCATAAGAAATTCAAAGGGAGGAGCAAAAGTGCTATTCTGCTCTTGTGTGCCAGTGTCCTGTTTGGCTGAAATGGTGTTCCTGTAAGATATAAAAGAGGAGATATTATATACATGGACTTTCAACACCTTTCTTTTTGTACAATTTCTAGTATTTATTTTTATACTGACTAATACATATCATGTCATATTATATAATACTTTTCATAAGACAAAAACAAAGTAAAACAGTAGTAATAATTATATTGAAGATATAAGTCATCAATATAATCAGTATAATCGTAATCTTTTCCCAACAACTGATCCATTAAAGCACAGAACATTACAACAGAATGTTTACCCTGTTATGGCCTACAGACTGGCATACAGACTGGCAATAGCCATACAGACTGGCAAGGCTGAGCAAAATAGAAATGCCTCTTTGATTATATGTTTGTATTTCTGATGGAGTTTTCCTTGTATAGTTTTAACACAAATCAAACCTTTCAGAGTAACTAATATTTTATAGGTGTCAAAATTCCAAGCAGATAAAAAGGTACTTTTCTCATACATCTATGAGATCTGTAAACTATGTAGTATGTTACTCAGAGGCCATAAACAACCATATACAATATATACAGTATTTTCAAACTGTATAGCGGTTCCAATCTCTCCTTATATATAAAAGGGATTTGGAGTGGCTTCTGTCCTATGGGGTGGCAAGATTACATGCGCTCCCTCAGCCATTGGTCCGTCAGCTGCCAGTCAAGACTACTGGCGTGCCATTGCTTGGGGGCGGGGGAAGGAACGAGGCTAGCCGCCTTGGCCTGCGCATGGCTGGAACAGGTGGCAAGTGGGTGGTGCGGAGATGGACAAGGCCGGGCAGCCAGACTTTTGCTCGGTCACCCCCCTCAACTGCCGCCGCTGCCATGGATGGGTGGGGCAGGCGACCGGGGAGGGAAGCCTAATCAGGCCCCTGCTCGCCTGCTGCCGCACCGGTCGCACACAGGCATCCAGCCGCCCCCGGCCCACCTTTCTCCCCCTCAACCGCTGCACCTGGCGGGGGGGAGGCCTGCTCAGCCCCCCCTTGCCCCTGGCCGCACAGGGGCCTCCAGCCACCCCCCTCACCTTCCCTCCCTCAATTGCTGCAGTGAACGCTGGCCGGGAGGCCTACTCAGGCCCCCACTCGCCCGCCGCCCCATCGCCCGACCGCACAGGGCCCTCCAGCCACCCCAACCCACCTTTCCCCCCTCAACCGCCACGACAGGGGTGCACTTACACGGGACCCCGCTCGCCCGGCCACATGGGGGACTCCAGCCACCCCGACCCACCTTTTCCTCCTCAACCGCTGCGGTGAGTGGGGGGAGGCCTACTCAGGCCCCCACTTGCCTGCCGCTGCAGCACCTGACCACACAGGGCCCTCCAGTCACCCCGACCCACCTTTTCCCCCTCAACCGCCGTGACAGGGGGGCACCTACTCAGGCCCCCGGCCCGGCCGCATGGGGGCCTCCAGCCGCCTGACCCACCTTTTCCCCCTTGACCACTGCGGCGAGCGGGGGGGGAGGCCTACTCAGGCCCCCACTCGCCCGCCACCGCGCCCGGCTACGAGGAGGCTGACTTACAGCCGCGTGCCTGCCAGGTAACAGCTGAACAGCCCCCCTTTCCTCACCCTCCCTCCCTCTGTCTCTTCCACGCACCTATTCATCTTCTCTCTCTTTCCATTCCTTCCTTTGCTGTCTGACACTCCCTCCCCTTTCTTCTTCTACCCTTCCTTCATCCCTATCTCTTTGCATTCCTTCCCTCCCTACTTCCTTCCTCCCCAACTCTATGCATTCTTACCCTCCCTCCCTCCTTCCCCTTCTCGTCCTCCCTATCTCTTTCCATTCTTCACCTCCCTCCGTCCCTCTTTCTCCCTTCCTTCCACCCCATCCCTTTTGATTCTTTCCCTCTTTCCTCATCTTCCCCTCCTTCCTTCCCTCTTTCTTTCTTCCTTTCTCTCTCTCTCTCTCAACTTCCTTCCTTCCTTCTTTGTTTCCTTCTTTGCTTCCTTCCTTCCTTCTAGAACTCGTTGTCTTCCCTCTACAACGGGCCTTCTTCCTAGTATATATATATGGGCATACACCTTCCTCCATTTATTATTCCAAAACATAATGAAAAATGTCCAATACTTCAAGAATTTGTCCTCATACAAATTCTCACCACCCGAGATACTTTTATAATATGTTAATTTAGTAAAATAAGTGATCTTCCAAATTCTGTAAAGTTATTCAGATACTGTAGGGACCTCCACACAATTCCAGTAGCTGGCAATACACATTTTAGCAACAATTATGAGATTAGTCACCAACTCCAATTCTGTATCTTCAATCACCTCTTTAAAATAGCATAACAGAATAAATCTGAAGGGATTTCACAGCCAATAATCTCATGAATTATTTCCAACTAGGAATAAGGCCCGTTGTGGAAATAAATACAATGAGCTGAAGATACAGGTTCTGGGCGGGTGCCCTGACGTTGGGCACCCAGCGTCAATTTGCTGTGGTGACTTCAGCAGCATATAATGACACAGAGTTCACCGTTTTCTCCAGGGGAAATGATCTCTGCCGTCTGAAGACCAGCGTACTTCTGAGTGATCTCCAGCCCTCACCTGGAGATTGGCAGCAGTGGTTCCCCAGGAAGAAATGGCTGGTTTGGAGGGTGAAGCCTATGACATTGTACCTGTCTGAGGTCCTACTCCTCCTCAAAACCCACCCTTTCCAGGCTCCACCCCTCACATTTCCAGGAATTTCCCAACCTGGAGCTGGCAACCCTATCTTCTTCCCAGGCAACCATCAACATACCATTATCTGCCCCTCTGACTTCAGCTTTCCATCTCCTCCCCCCCTCCTGGAGAACAGTTGTAATTCTGAGTGATCTCCAGCCCTCACCTGGAGATTGGCAACAATGGTTAACCAGGAGGAAAAGTACAGTCTTTCTCCACAGTGGGAACCAAACCAGCTTACATCATTCTTCTCTCCACCTTTTGATCTGCACAACAACCCTGTGAGGTAGTTTAGGCTGAAAGTCTGTGAGTGGTCTGAAATCACCCACTCAGCTTCCACAGCAAGAACCTGGGTCTGGCAGACCCTGCTCTGAAGTGTTAACTGCTACGCCACACTGGCTGCGGTATCACCTGGTATCACAACTGAACTCCAGACAACAGATATCTCTCTCTCCCCCTGGAGAAAATAACTGCTTTGGAGGGTGGACTCTATGGCATTCTATTCAGCTGAGGCCTCTCCCCTCCCCAAACCCTGGCTTTCGTAGACTCCACCACACACTCTCCAGGAATTTCCCAACCTGGAGCTGGCAACCCTAGTCAAGACTGGCCCCAATGAGTTCCCCACAAAGGCCTGGAAACGGCCTCCTGGCTTTGCCTTTTTACTGACAGAACCAAGCTTGGTTGCCTAGCAACAGCCACTGAGGGAAAAGTTAGTCCCAGGGGAGCCAAGCAGGAGAAGTGACTTCGTCAGGAGAGACAGCCGTTTTGGCAGTGATTCTGACAGGGAACAGTGGCATTGGCGAGGAAGAGGAGCGGACCCAGCCCCCAGCCAATGGCATGCGATTACTCTTGAGTGGCGGTTGATGGGCCAATGGCTGATGGAGCGCACAGCACAGTCAATGGGAGAGCTGGAAATGGCCAATGTGTTAGGAGAATTATATATATAGGATACTGAGAACCAAAACCTCTGTATTTCAGTACATTCCCAAAAGATGTGGAATTGGTCTGCCCCTAGAGAATGACATCTCCAGCAAATATCTATGGGTATTTTGTAAATTTGACCCAACTTATATGGAGTTAGATACCGATCATACAGGATCTTATAAAAGTTCTCTTTACCGTCACTGGAGAGCAACCTATCTAGCTTGATATATCCTGAGATCCCACCCAAAAAGAATACAAAATCCTTAACACAGTCTCCCATCAATGGCTCCTTCTTACTGTTCAGGCGGCCTTTACAAAGGCTACGAGGGCATTGTAATTATAGCACCGTTTATTGTATGCATTTGTTTTTACTGCATTGTTCTCCAATTTCTGTAATCCAGTTTTTGTATTTCTTGTGTCGTACACTATTTGTATTGCATTGTTGTCTAATTTTGTAATCCAGTCATATTACAATGTCATGGGGCTGGGGTTTTTTTTGGGGGGGGCAGCACCAGGAAAGGCTATTGCTTTCATGTACTTCTTGTGGGACTGGCTGTTGTGGGGGGGAAATATACAGGACACAGTCTGTTCCAGGATAGCATTTATGTTTTTTGTTCTACCCTAAATGCTGTGACGTAGAAGGAACACTGTAGCACCTATATCTTTTCCTTTTTCAGATCTCTGGATCAAAAACTGGGATCTGGCATTTGAAATCATTTGCCATTTGATAAGCACAGGTCAATTATTTAAATAAGCCTGAGCAGTCAGTACAGATTCAAACAATCAAGAAATAACTGCTCAGGAGTCAGGACCATTTATGAAGTGGGCACAAAGTAAGGTTGTAATTGTTCATGGCTAGTGCAGTGGATTTATTTTGTGGATGAATCAAACTGGCTTTGTTTTATATCTGTACTTTGTTTTAAAATATTAACATTTGACTATTACAGAACACAGACATCAAGCTGTATTTCTCAGTCGTCCTCCTTTTCAACTTGAAACTGGCAATCTACTAGTCAATTTTCATTGTTGGTTGTAACTAGAAGTGGAACCTTCTTCTGAAACTCAGGACTGGCTGAAAACCATGGTATTGTTGTTTTTTACATCAAGACTGACTCTTCTCTGCTCTTGAACAGGCAAATTAGCTGTCTTTGTTTCTTCCTTCTATAATTCAAAAGGCATCACAGGCACTCTGCTTGTCAACTTTCCTTCACTGCTGCCTCCCTGTCTGGTTCTTCTTGCCTGGCCTGTTCAGTTTGGGCCTTCAGCCAAATGGTTATGTCTGCCACTATTTTACTTCAGTCATTTTCTAACTCCAAAGGGCACAGCCTGGGAATCTAGATGTCTTTCTGCAAGGAACTGTATGTGTTATAAAGAAATTGCACTGAAATGCACCTTTCCCTCTCCATTATTTTTGTGATAGTGACTGTTTAAGAGAAGATTGTGCAAATAACATTGAGCAGGACATACAACATTACAGTCCCGAGCAACCATAATCCCTTCTGTGTTATGCTGTTACTTTTAAAATGTTATTATTTATTATAAATTATTTACATTAGATGCTGAAGGTTTCCAGATGTACCAGTTAAGGAAGAAGTGCTTATTTGGCCCTTTAAAAGAAACAAAAAGTAATTGATGTGATCAAAAATGCTAATCCTTCCCTCCACAGAACATTCTGCCATTTTGCTAACCTGTCTTCTTTTGCTTTACTTAAAAAAAATCTTTGAAGAGTACATGCTCCCTCTCCATCACAGGAGCATACATTTCTTTGATTTCTTTTTAAATTACAGTTCTCCCCCCTCCCCCATAGAAAGGCTTTTCTCCTTCTTCCATCCCTTACGTGGATCAGAATGGGATACTGTGCTACTATCAATGGGTCTCAGATTGCAGTAATTTAGAATTAAGTATAAATTCTGGGTTCCCCATCACTGTGTCTGCACAGGCCCTCAGATTTTATAGTAATCTCACTAGCCCTATTCCTGAAAGGGAGTATTATTCCGATCATATCATGTGCCACTCTTTTTATGGATTCAAAATATTGGCTTTCCTTACAGAAATCCTTCAGCTAGATCACAAGTCCACAACTCAGCCATAAAAATCCATACAAAAACATGGTTGGATCCCACTTAAAATCTTCTATCAGTGGCAGTGAGTCCTCTAATGTTTCTTGGTCCTCCACAGATAGGATACAATGAGAAATCCTATCCTAAACTTCAATGTGAACAGCAACTAAAACATCAGCAGTCTTTAGGCTGTTATGAAGGCCATGTGATTGTAGAGCAAATTACCAATTCCTTTACACTGTAAAATATAAGGAAACGTCTCTAACTTATCAATTCTATCAGCACATGTTCCCTGGCTGAACTCAAAACCTTGTTACACAAAATACTCATGGGTCCTGGTCACACGGAGAATTTGCCGCGTGAGAGGCACGACTGCCAGGCGGATTAAAAGGGCACGATCATACGGCAACATCTGGCAAGCGTCGCACACCCATCTCCAACTTGTAGCATCCGGCCAAAGATGCAGAGTTAAAAAGTAGCAGAGAAAGTGTTTATTCGAAAAACGCGGGGCGCAGGCGGGCATCTGATCTCGGAAGCGCTGGTACCCCATCGCATCCGGCGCCCATCCGCGTCCCACCGGATGTTTTCTTGTAAGCCACCGTGGTATGCACACAAACGCGGTAGTGCTTCATTGCCACGCTTTGTCATCACCGTGTGATCAGCTGCTGACGGCCTGAGCACGGGGCCTCGGGGGAATGTCTGATCGTGATACCGCGCTTCATTTTGCTCCGGAGCAAAAGGCCTCACTTCCCCCCCGGATTACCTCGCTCGTGTGACCAGGGCCATGGTTCTGTAAAAGCTAGTACTTGTAATACAAAATGGAGAAGGGAGAACTTTAATCCACATCCCACAGGCCAATTATCCACTTTGAAAACAGTCCTTTTGCACTCTATTATTAGCAAACCAAGGCAAATTGAATAGTATTGGGAAAAATCTGCAGTGGCTGAAATGAAGATATAAACTAAGACCCCTAGGATGTATTTAATGGTTTATTTACAGCCCCCCAGCAATTTCTACATTAAAAAATGGCTTCTGTTCTGTCCTACATACCAAGATCACAAGGTCCTTGTGGCCGCATACTCTTTCCTCTTCTCCTCTCCCTGAGAAGCTCTGTGACCTCTGGAAAGCTGATGCTGGGGCTATGGGAAAAAAATCCCATGTAGTACCCAGGCTGCAGTAAAGAGCAGGAAATCAGGTGACATTACCCTCCTTCTTGCATGAATGAAGAGCTTGCTTTGCTATGCTTCCTCCACCAGTGAAAGGGAAGCTGGGGACAATTTTGGCTACTTCTCCCTGCTCACTGCAGCCCTCCGTATAGCATAGCTGTTGTTTGTCCACACAGTCCCCCCCCCCCAAACCCACAGTCTCCCATTTCTTGGGATCACAGGTTACTCTAGGAGGCAGGAGACAGCCACATCTGCAACCACCATTGATTGCACCTCCTTGAAACATAAACCAACCCAGTCACTTTGCCTTGTCCAAAAAATCAACTAGCATCTCAAAAACAAACACAAATACTTGCATGATCTACTTTTGGTGATTGGATGGGCATCATGTATCAGTCCCCTGATAAAAGGTATTTTTCAGAATGATCAGACTAATGCTCCTAAGGGCAACTTTCCAAAAAGTGATGGTGCCATCTACTGACCAAATGTAATTATTTTTAGTATGCATAATCTAGGCACAAACCTGTATCTTTTGAATTGTGTACACTCACTTAACTGTAGTAGGCAAAGTATGTCAAAGAGCATTAACATCATTCAGTATCTCTAACAAAATGCTTTCATATAAATGTATTTAGAGCATCCCAATTCCCCCCCTTCTCCAAAACATGAAAAGATGTTCCATTCTCTTTGTCCTGACAGATAGACTCTCTACTTGCCTTCTTGAATATAAGTATGAGAATTTAGAAGTGCATTAACCTTTTCAGTCTGTCTCCTCTTTAGTGATGTCACAGTGAATGGAAGTGTGCAAATGGAAACAAAACACGGCATGTTTTGGAGAATCTTTTCATTACCATGTTCTTTGATGATTTTCCCTCATGTTTAGGACTCATCATGTTTACTCCTACTGTCCTACATCTATAAAAACAGAGTACAAATCTCATAATGTATTATTTAGGGGCATATCAGAATTAAGATACTTCTAAAGTATTACACTACTATTACCATATCCAGAGCGGGAAATAAAAAGATACGTCTTTGTTTAATAATTAGATGCATCATTTTCACTGATAGTAAACAACATTCAGAAATACAATATATCCACCAACTACAAATCATATTTCAGGTTTAAGTCCTTAAAATACAAAATTAAAATTTGAACTTCTTGTTTCAAGAGGAGCTTACTGTTCGGGAGTCCTAAATTTTTGATTTAATGCTTTGCAATAGTAATTCTGCTTTGCCTGTTCAGGATAACTCCGTTTTTAAACTTTGTTTTCCTCACAAATAAACGTGTATACAGGTGAGGCGCTGAAGGTGAATAAGAACTGGCGGTCCTGTACTGGACTAAAGCCGTGGGTGTACCTACAGTCTTAATAGGTAAACAAATGGGAACGTTTCCACAAAATTATTTAAGGCCCTCTGCCTACCTCTTTAATCAGGACATGCACGTTCAAAGCAGCCCTCTGTAAGTAAGGTACGCTGAAATCAATGGGAATGCCTTCCAAAGAACGCTCAGGACCGCAGCCTATTCAGCTGTACAGGCCACGTATGGAGATGAGCTCCTAAAGCACGATCAACGCTCTTCCTAATGGCCTCCTACTGTCGCGCAAGTTCTGCCCTCCCCTTCCTTTGCGATGGTGCTGCATTGCAACCAGCAGGGGAAGAGGGCGAGTCTCTATCGGGAGCGGGACCCGCCGTGTACACCTCGAAGTCGGCCTGGGATTAAGGCACAAAACCACCCCTCGAAGTTCCCTCTCAGGAGTCTGGCAAGGCGAGACACGGCCTGCGCAAGGCAGGGAAGACGAGGCTCCGGATCAGCTCCAAACTGACTGAGGCGCTGGGCGGGCGAAGCGAGCTCGGTCCTGGCCCAGGAAGCATCGTCGCCTTCCCCGCCCGGGGCCAGGCGGAGCCAACAGCAGGAGGAGGAGGAGGAGGAGGAAGGGGGGGGGGTGTGAGAGGTCGGCCAGCTCCGGTCGCCCATAGAGACGGAGGAGTCCCGAGTTGTGAGGGCGGCGGCGGCGGCGGCCGAAGCGGGGACGACAGAAGCCAAGGAAGGGTTTCTCGGCGCCCGCCTGGCCACGGACGGTGAGTGGGACAGGCCAGTGCGGAAGCAGCGCCCTAGGCCAGCTGAAGCCGTGGGAGGGTCTCCGAGAGAGGAAGGAATTGCCCTTCCTCCTCCTCGCCCCAGCGCCGTCCCGCCTCCCACCACTGCGATGGCGGCTGGGGGATCAACGGTAGCCCCTCAGCTGCCACCCCCGGTCTTTTCTTGCCACCCGGCGGCATGCCTCGCTTTGGCAGAGCGCGGCTCCTCCCTCCTTCCCTCTCTCTCTCCACCGTGAGGAGTGAGGCGTGGCTGGTCCCGTGTAGCACCTCTTGGCCTAGGCCCGTGCTCTTTGCTCCAAGGAGCCGCCCCCTGTCACCCTACCAGGTGGGGAAAGGGGTGGGTGGGTGTTGCCCTGTTCTTTTAAAAACGTGCCTTTCTGAGCCAAGTAGATATGTTCATGCTTGTGAGTAGGCAAGGGTGAATGTGATGCTGGGTTATGGAGCAGCGAGTTAAGGGTGTGGTGTAAGGTTGCCGCCAGATGTCCCTGCTTGCCTTGAAGGATCGTTTCTTCTGGCACGATGTTGTACCCATATTCATCAAACCTAGTATCGAAGATCAATGCAATTATGGGAATTTAAGAAAAATCACAAAGTTGGGGGCCTCTGTTATTACAGTTCAAGTGTAGTTTGTTTACAAAGTCCTCTGAAGATTCTAGTTTATTTATTTATTATTAAATTTATAGCCTGCCCTCCCTGCAAGCGGGCTCAGGGCGGCTCACAGATAGGGCATAAATGCCAAACAATTAAAAACAAGATAAAACAATCAATCAATTACAACAATATAAAGTGCTCAAGATGTTTCAGGAAAGTCTTCTGTAACAAGATGGTTTCCTGGGGATAGCAGTCCCAGATCAGTGGTATCAGATCCACGCAGCGCTGTAGTTCATTTAACACAGGGCCATCTCATCACCCCCCACGTTACCCAACTCAGTTGTTGGTGGTGATGGAGGTAGAGGTGGGGGTAGTGGCGGCCTCCTATTCGAAAGCCTGATGGAACAGCTCGGTCTTACAGGCCCTGCGGAACTGCGCAAGGTCCCACAGGGCCTGAATCTCTTCCGGGAGCTCATTCCACCAGGTAGGAGCCACCACCGAAAAGCTCTGTCCCTGGTAGCAGCATACCTGGCATCTTTGGGGCCTGGAATCGCCAGCAGATGTTGCGTCCCCGACCATAGTGCCCTTGGGGGGAACATATGGGGAAAGGCGGTCCCTTAGGTATGTCGGACCCTGGCCATATAAGGCTTTAAAAGTAAGAACCAGCACTTTGAAGCAAATCCGGTGTGCTATTGGCAGCCAGTGCAGCGCTTTCAGCTCAGGCCAGATGTGCTCCCACCTAGGGAGGCCCATCAGAAATCTGGCTGCAGCATTCTGCACTAGCTGCAGCTTCCAGATTTGCGACAAAGGCAGCCCCATGTAGAGAGCGTTACAGTAGTCTAACCTTGAGGTGACCGTCACATGGATCACTGTGGCCAGGTCATCGCGGTTGAGGAAGGGAACCAACTGCTGAGCCTGCCGAAGATGGTAATAGGCCGACTTGGCAGTGGCTGCCACCTGGGCCTCCATGGTTAACGAGGAGTCCAGGAGCACTCCCAAACTCCTAACCTCTGACGCTGGCACCAAAGGCGCCCCATTGAAGGTCGGGAGAGGGAGCCCCAGCCCCCAAAACCAACTCAGGCCCAGGACCTCCGTCTTTGCCGGGTTTAGTTTCAGCCGACTCAATCTGAGCCAACCAGCAACAGCTTGCAACGCCCGGTGAAGATCTTCTGGGCTGGAGTTTGACTGGCCGCCAAGCATCATATAGCGCTGAGTGTCATCGGCATACTGATGGCACCCAAGCTCATACCTCCAGGCAATTTGGGCAAGGGGACGCATATAGATGTTAATCAACATCCGGGACAGCACCACCCCCTGAGGCACCCCACATTCTAGAGGGTGTCTCCGGGACTGCTGTTCCCCTATCACCACCCTTTGTCCCCGACCTTGGAGAAAAGAGGCAAGCCATTGAAGGGCGAGCCCCTGAATCCCCACGTCAGCGAGGCGCTGGGTCAGCAACTGGTGGTCGACTGTGTCGAACGCAGCTGACAGATCTAACAACAGTGCTGCCACCGCACCTCGGTCAAGATGCCTTCTGAGGTCGTCAACAAGAGCGTTACATTAGTTACATTATCTTGTGCATGGGGGTAGGGTACAATATGATGTCACCAAAAATAGGTAAATGCTAAAGAATGGCTTTTGCTTGTGGCGAGCGAAATGGCAGGAATAGCTCCTACTAGGGAGGCGGTGAGTGGCCCCACCCCCCTGCAGACTTCAAGCAGTGGTTGTGGACGAACACTTGAAAGGGGTGCTTTAGGCTGATCCTGCATTGAGCAGAGGGTTGAGCTAGATGGCCTGTATGGTCCCTTCCAACTCTATTGATTATATGTTGCTGTTCTGTATGGTGTGCCAGGCATTTGGTAAATGGGGGCCACATACCCCAGACTACATTGGTAGTAGCTGCTTTTTGCCATAATTCAATGATGGTGATGATTCCCTCAACATCAGTTGTGTGGTTTAAATGTTCACTTTTTGGGGTACCTGGTGGATGATCAATAATGCTGGCTTGGGACATCCTTGGCCCATGAACTTACTTGTGCTGCAGATTGCCATTCAGTCACAGTGTGACTGAAAGTGAGTAAATACTCTACACTCTGTGCACCATGGGGCAGGGATTGTGGATGAAGGGTCACTAAAGATTTCTGGTCAGCACAATCGTGTGGGGTGTATGAGTCTTCTACTGTAAAAATCCTAGAATTTGTCAGTGAAAGCAGGGACCTATTACAGATCTGCAGGAAGAGAACAATCCTAAACACGGGACGTGTAGTGAGGTTTTCTACTTTTGGTTTCTTCTGAAGCTATTTGTGTTTAACTTTTTCCAGATCCTTGTCTGAAAGAGGACCTAATAAAACTCCATGTATAACTTATCTTGATGCTGTTACAAGTTCTTTTTTTTTTTTTTTTTTAAAGGAAGTAATTGTTCTACTCTGAATGTGATATGATTGTAGGTTCTAAGCTACAGAACAATGCTAAGCTTTCAACAGCTGATGTTTGCGTTTTTTGCCCAAAGAGAGTAGTTTGCATTTTTTGCCCAAAGAGAACAGAATGTCTGAACAGTCATTTGGTCTGCAAATTTTGGCATCGTTCACTAGGCAGCCATAATTTACTGTTGCCACTAATGCCACCTCCCCTTGCCTGTGTCCTCTGTGCATGCCAACAAACTCAGATGGAAAAAGGGTGTCTCTTGTATTGCAGCGGGTTCTGAAGCAGGCAGAATCATCTCTTGCAGCTTCTGCCTTATCTAAAGCTCAGCCCAATGAGAGAGATTCCCCCTTTCCTTCCTTGGCTTTGGAAAGGGAAGGAGGGATCTCTCATATTGTATTTCTGCTTTCACGTTCCGTGCAATATGCAGGTCTTCTCCCTTCTCCAGAGCCTAAGAAAAGAGAGTGATTTTGACATTGCGCTGAGCTGCTGGCGTGGATTTGTGGAGGCCTGATGATGGGTGAGCCTAGTCACAAGAAAAATGACAGGAGAATGTAAGAAGTAAGTTATTGAACATGTTCTGTCATGTTTAATGTTAGGCTTGTTTGCTATGGTAATAAAAAGACCAGAGTAAAATCTTGCAGAATTGGATTAAACTCTGTAATCTCTCTTGCTTTGCCCTGTTTATTAGCCATTTCAGACCAACATTTCCTTGCTACGTTTAAGGCCAGAATCTTCTGATTCGTACATTTTTTCTTTGTAAAGCTGTAATTGTAAATTCTTGATTTCTACAGGTCTTTCAGCTGGCATGAAAATGCCTTCTTTCTCAAAATGTGACAGCTTGTATGTTGCTCCCCCCCCCCAGTTCAGCTGCAGAAACAAAAGCATTCATGAAGTAAGGATGAGTTAAAGTTAGCATTGTTTTTCTTTAGCAAATATTGTTTTTGATTTTTTGCGAAACTCTTCTAGCTACATAATTTTTGCCTAAAATGATTTTATTTTGAACTAATGCTCTAGAATAAGATCTTTGTTGTAACAAAAACACATTAAGTTATCTAAACAACATTTCCATGTTATTTTTAAAGTCTTGCATGACTCTAGAAAATGTTTTGACAATGTTCAATACTGTTTTACCATTCTTGCTGCTTCATTTTACACAACACAAAGGGCTTTTAAGAAAAATCTTTATTCATTCAATAATTGCCTAGTTTGATTACTTCACAGTATTCATCTTTTCCCTTGTCAGCATTAGTATCTTAATGGGTCTAATGAAATAATTAGTATTGTGTTGATTTTTGTAATAAAAACAATTTTTAGCTGTCTGGAAATATATAATAATTCCCCCAAAATTTGTTAAGAAATAAGGCAATTCAGCTAACACAACAACTAAAAAAGAGGATCAGGTAAGGATTCCCTACTTATATGTATGCCCACCAAAGCTGAATCCACGTTTCCAGTGCTGCCTTTAGGGGTTACCATGACACATACAGAACTTTTATTAATGTTAACTATAATTTTGCAGCAAAATTGGGTGGTCCTGATATTTAAAAAAACGTTATGCCACCTTTCCACCTGATCAGGGCCCACAAGGCAGCAAACATAAAACACATTAAAACATCTAAGCAATTTAAAATAGTTAAAATTGTAAAATATTTCAACTAAACACATACACCAACACTGGAAGGAAGGTCAGTAACCATTTTTGGGGTATGCCAGATGAAAGAAAAAAAGTCTTCATCTGCTGGCACAGAACACCAATAGAGGGAGGGAGACAAATCTCCCTTGGGAGGGAGTTCCAACATTTTGCTGCCACAACTGAGGAGGTCCTTTCTCAAGCTGCCATCCATCTAAATTCAGATAATTGTTCTTTTACTTAATAATTATCAATCAGACAACAATAATTAGCACACATACACACTCAATACAGATCTAGGGGAAATTAGGCAGGAAAAATCATCGACTTTCTCATT